ATACATTGCATATTCATACCTAAAAAAGCTCTATTTATTCTAGTAACACCATCGAGTTTGAGTGAAATGAGTCACATACATGGGTACATAATGCTGAAAAATTATTTTTCTATTTGCTAAATTCTTAAATCTAATAGTAGTACCTAAGTTTCAAGTGTAGTACCTACTTCAAGATTTTTATACATAGAGTGTAAAATATAAAATATTAAATAATACAAAATCCAACATAGCATATATATTATGCATTATAAAATAATTAATAATTAAATTAAATTAAAAYGTTAAAATGTATGATGCAAGTAGGTTCCTAGTAGCTAAACTCAAGTTTAATTCATCACGTTCAATTTATTTATATTGTCCGCATCTTAGTTATGTTGTACCTACACTACAAGATGCCTACTATTTGTATTGTTCTAATCAATTTTTGAAAACTTAACTTGTTTTAATATTTATAATTCAAAAATATATTTACATCTGATTTTGAATTTTATATTTTCAGTACCTTAAATAAAAATTAASYGAGTGACGATCTGATGTACAAAAATTTAMATGTGGATTACTGCAATGGATTTTAAATTTCAATTCAATGGTATTATATCATTGTACAATTTGTACCTATATACAATAAACGATTCTGAGCGGAGACGATTTGTCGGCCTACAGGATAATTTATAATATATGTATATTAGTATAATGTTATTATTACTACTCTKGCTGGTAATTTGTATTCATATTATTTGTTTATTATCATTTTGGTATATCCCTGATARTATTATACTTTAAACTTTCAAATACCTACCTACGAATAATATTTTTAAATAACWAAAATATAACTAAAATCGTTATTCTTGATTATTTAATATGTATAATTTCGTACAAATTTAAATTTTAATTAACTATACAAAAAAATGTATTTATAAATTTTTATACTTTTTTTGTTACATAATGAACCACTTAAGTGAAAACCTGGTATTAAATTTTCTATCTATAGCCATACAAATT